CCTCTGGCTAGCCTGTTACCTTTGGCCACTCGTGGGCCCTTTGGCGCTCCTGCAGCAGCAGATCCGAGGCACTAGGCTGCGGGGAGTTCCCCTCATGGGAGGTGGGCAGGGAGAGCAGCGAGGACTCCTCTTCCTCGAAGAGCTTCCCGCCACAAGAAGCTTCTTCACCTGGCAGAAAAATAACAGTGAGAGGGTAGGAAAGGATAGGGAGTAGAAAGAGAATGCTGAGCCTGCTCCAGAGGAGAACCCAGGAGGACATGGGGTGGGTGGGTTAAATAGCCAGGACTAAAAATAGGTTTTTTTGGGGTGGGGGGCTTCTAAGCAAGCTCATGTATGCCCCTTTGCCAAAGCCAACTCAGGCTAGGATTGATTCAACGCTTGGCAGGAAGGCCAGCTGAAAATCTCCTAGTGTGCTGTTTGCAGGTTCTGTGACCAGAGAAATAAGGGACTGAAAAGGCCTTTAATAAAGTTGAGTGGCAAAGAGTACCTAATATGGAATGTTGTACTTCCTAAAACAATACATTAGAGAAAGTTAGGTACAAACATAAGTAAAAATGGCTGGTTTTTAGAGAAGAAAATTGTAGATTGATGCAGAAATTATAAGAGATTTATGACCAAATAAATGTACAAATGATACAGGCTACAGACACGCTGACTCAGCCATTACTAACTATACTTTGGTAACATAGCCTGCACAGCAAAATAAACCAGGATGCATTAACTACAAATAAATTGGGCTTTGAATCCTTATTATGCCTCAGTCAGGAGAATCTCTCCTGTGTTTAAGCTAACTTATTGGATTGTTATGAACTAGGGAAAGGAGAAGGTTGCCCTGAATTCCCTAGAACAGGGGCATAGAATACAGTTTTAAGATCTATGGCACCTGTTCAAAAGGCAAGTTAAAAAAAACAACTTTCCATTAACGAGCATTTCTCATTTTTAGAAGAAAGGCTATCTTCTACAGCCAATTCCCTCTGGTTTTTAAGCAAGCCCTTGATCATTTTCTTCTCGAGATGGGTGGGAAAGAAGAAACGTGCAATGAGGCGTCTCAAAGAACAGCTCACCCTCACTGTCATCAGAGCAGCCTGAGGAAGAGGAGCAAGACGACGAAGCAGAAATCTTGCTGAGGTCGAGTTCCGAGTCGGAGTCCTCAGCCGATTCAGGTTTCGGAGGCAAGGCGAGGGGCTGTTGCGGAGCGGGCAGCTCATTCAAAGGCGGAGCGAGGAGCAGGGGGGACGGAGCAGCTACTGTGCTGACACCTGGAAGGGGTAGCCCTGTAGGCTGGGGTGGCACGGGGGGCGGAAGAGGGGGCGTCCCTGTGCCCCCTGCCCGACTGTGCAGGTGGCTGAGCCGAGCCGCCAAGAAAGAAAAGTCTGGGTCCTGCATGATGGTGGTGTCAGTCTGGCTAAGACCATGGCGGGCCACTCCCCGTAGCAGCTCTCCATCGTGGCGCCCACACTGCCACCAAGGTGGCATCTCAGGGCCAGGAGACTGGCACAGGGCAAGGCGCTCCTCCAAAAGGGGATGGCACAGTACTTGTTCCCGCAGACGGCGCAGGAGATCAATGCGGTACAGGGTGCGGGAGGCCCGCTCTTCCGTGATGGGTTCAATGAACAGTGTTGGGTCTGGAGACTCTGGAGGAGAAGAGAAAACCAGGTGAGTCTGGAAACTTTCTATTTCTCTCCTTTTTTCACAGTTAAGTTGCTTCCCTTCCATCCCCAACTGCCTGAAGCCCTTATGGCCTACTTTCAGTACCCCTAGCTTTGCTGCAGATATTCATCAGTGAGATCCTCTATGTTCGCATCTCCAATGTGATCAGAATTACAAACCCTGAAGCAACATTCAGTCCCACTGACCTCCAAAGACTCTGGGCAAGGCTCACAGAGTCCTTCTGAACAACGCCACTAGACTGTTTAATGTCAAAAAATCCAAACATTTAAAATTTCAACACTTAAAAAAAAAAGTTAAATGTAAAAAAAATGGGAACTGTAATGGGAAGTGTAGCATAAATACAGAATCTTGGAATCTGTAAGAGGAATTTCCCAGCCTCACTTACAGTGAGTTAAACAGGGCAAAGTCTCTTTGTATGCTTTGAAAAGCTTCTTCCCGGGTTTCTCTTGGACTAAATTGCCCTTTATAAGATGAGCTGTCAATTGACTTTGCTATCTCTTGATTGTTCATATCTGTGTTCTTCTCTGTTCCTTTCCCAGCCTCCTGAAACAATTTGGAAGAAGTGCTTGGGAACTCACAAGAATGTAGTCTATCTCTCCCATTCATTAAAGTAACCCCTCTCTTTTCAAGCTTCAACCTTAACCTTAAAAAAAAAAAAAAAAAGCCACAGCTGCTTTTAGACTTCCATTAACTTTCATGAGTGGTCTCCTTCAAGCAGCAGTATTGTTTCTCAGGGTCATGCACAAGCTGGAGAAAAGAGAGGTATTTTGATGAATAGCAGAAAGGTGCTGAGCTCACATTCATGTCAGATCTGAACTACTTTTTAAAGTTATTTTCAAAGTAGACACAGCCTTAAATAAAAAGAATGTAAAAAGATTTCCATCTAAGCGAATGGCACACTTGGCCAGCCCTGGCTGATTGCAAAAAACACAGAAACAAAAACCTACTGTTTACAATAAAATAATACAGACAAGTCCACCTCATTAGTGGAATAAAGCTCAATTCAAGAGAGTCTTTACTTCTTGAACAAATGCCTGGCACTCCCAAAATTTATTGCACCCAACTGGCATTGTCTATCCCGTTCACAATTGAGTTGGATCCTAGGTCTGAACAGTCTCTTGAAGGCCCTGAGCCTCAACACAGCAGTTGCTGCAGAAGAAAGATAGGAAAAGAGAAGATCAGGAAACGTGATTTCTTTAACAACCCTTCCAGGCTTTACCTCCTCCTTTGCTTTTTAAAGCTATTCTGACTCTTTTAGGCCACATACTACTGTCTCCATTTGCTTCCCTGCTACAAAAGGAAAATTGCCAATTTTCAGCAATTATAATGAGAGAAGAGTCAGAGATTGCAGATCACAGGTCGCTAACCCTAGCCCAGTGCTACCGCGTCCTAGGGATTTCATACCCACTCAGACTCTGTTACTAACCATCACTTGCAGCAGGAGGAAGGCGGCACACCTGTCGACACATGGCCACAAAACCGTGGAAATACTTGGCTAGGCTCTCATCGGTCTTCTTGTCTAGGCGGGCAAGGGTCCGAAACCGACTCCAGTGGAAACGCATCGTGTCTGGATCATACTCCACACCAAATGTGGATACCACGCGATAGAAGTCTGACTGCTCACGACGTGTCCACCTTTGGATACAAATGATCATTTTGCTCCCCTGTTGCCCACTGAACTGATAGGCAATGTGGTCTTGCCTGTTGCTGATTGACTGCATTCGTACTTTGCCTTTTCTCTGGAATGCCCCAGTAGACAAAAATGGGGAAGGAAAGGTTCCTCCCCACTTTTTACCTTTTCTCTCTATAATTCTGCAACCAGCTTGGACTAAGACAAAGCAACTGATTCAGCGTTGCCCAATGATTCCATGATTGGATGGGGACCTGATCCATCCGTCTCAGGTTCTAGTACCACTTCACAGCCAGCTTCTCCAAAGAAAGTGGAAAAGAGAAGCGTGCAAAGCAGGCCCCAAAGATTACCTCTGCTGCTTCTCTCGACGCACCATCTCCTTCAGCTTGAAGGCAGCCTCACAACGCCGGCGACGCCGATCACCCCGCTCCGCAGCCTCCATCTTCAACTGCTCGCGCTTGTAGCTCCGCTGGAAGGCGGTGATTAGTCTCCGCAAGCGGGCTGTGAGCGCAGAGGCAGGAGGCCAGAAGAGGTTCCCTGGCTGGCCTAGAGAGTGATGGCAGGGATGGCCGTGTGACCTCTGCATCCTCCCAGCCTACCCCGGCTTTCTTCCCAAGGATGAGATGCTTATGAAGCTCAATGCTGCCACCACCTCCTTCACCAAATCCATTCACACAGTAAGTATTTACCTTCCTCCCCGTCCACCACCGATATTTCTTCATCCATCATCATCAGCGTTTCACCCTGGAATGGAGAGATTAATGCCATTAAGGTGGACTGCCAGAACTGACCACTACAGTTGGGGATGATGGTTTTTGGCCTGGGAGCCACAAGCTTGCTTTACTCTCTGGGGGCCATATAGGATGCAGCTGTATGGGGAAGCAGATGAAGTTTTCAAACCTATTTTTTTCCCCATTTGCCTCCATAAACTCAGCCCAAAGGGAAAATATAATTCCCATTAGTTTTAGTTTGCGAGACATAAAAGAGCCTCTTTTGCCCTTAAATTTCCCTCTAGCACCCAAAAAGCATGGGGGACGGGGTGGGGAAGCAGCCTTGCAAGGTGCAAATGGGATGCTCAGTGCCCACAGGCTGCCCGTAAGCTATTTTCCCCTTGTTTGGTACATCTGCAGGTAGTTTAATTCATCCTGAAGGATATTCTAACATTCAGACATCTAAAACAGTCTAGGAGAATTGGGATATCCACAGATAGCTCAACTACCATTCTCAGCATGCCTCCCTATCGGTTGTGCTGGCAAAGGATGTTGGGAGTGGTATTTCAGCTATAACTGAAGGACCACAAGTTCCCCACACATGTACCAAAGCACGTCCTTGACATGGCAGATTGCAGGTACAGGAAACAGTGGAGAAAAGGATTTCTTTCTAAAGGAGTCACTGGGATTCGGGTGGTGTAAAAATTTAATAAAAGCAATGACAACAAGCATCTTTTAGATTGAAAGGCAATGGGTTGAAAGGCAATATTTGTTTCTGGTTTTAAGACTGGGGCAAAAGCCAGTGATGGCCTGTATTAACTATGCAATTGGTTCATGATCCCACCTCGTCGTCCTGTTCCTTGGCAGGGGCTCCAACTGGTTTGTATTCTGGATCCTCGCAGTCCTTGTCAAAATCCACCCTGCCAGTGGCAGAAGAACTAGTGTGTTATGGCTGTGGAAATCCCCTTTCTTCCAACCCCTTCACAGGCACACCTCAGGTCTTCCCGTGAGAAGCAACGTAACTCACAGACACCCGAGTTCAGGGCCAGTTGACCCTCTCAGTGCCTCGGTATTAGCATGGCAAGTCATCATGAGTGTGCTCTTCTGTGCATCCTACACAGGACCACCACCCCCGTGTTCCCCATCCCCTATCCTCAGGAATGGCTTAGCTTGACACCAGCAGCCTCTCACCCCTCGCCCACGTCCGGACGATGCTCAGCAGCAATGGCCTTGTCATCAGGGCGGCCGGCTTTCTCCAGGAAACAGAGCGCAGAGTCGGCTCGCATGGTGTTGTACTTCTCGTAGCCTGAAGGGAGGGCCAAAAATCAGTTCAGAAAAGTGCCTAAATGGTTTGTAACCTCAGGCATTTAAAATATAAGGTCAAGACGCCCTCAACTCCTGTAAGGGACACAACTATGCAGTTCTTTTTGGAAATAGCACAGGCAAGGTATGCAACACCCCTGTCTTCTTGCAGGAAGGAGTCTAGTCAAAAACTTAGGTTCTCCCAGGTAGTCTTCCATCCATGTACTAAAAACACCACCTGCTGATGTTAAAGACAAGTCTCCGCTGGGTGCAGCTCAACTCCTGATGACTTAGTAGCGCTATTCTCTTGCTTTGCCATCTCCCTCTTGATGGATGGCTTTCAGCTTCCCAGTTTAGTCTCTGGCCCTGGGATTCCTCAGTGGTCTCCCATCCAAGAGTAACCAGGTCTGATTCAACTTCATTTTCAAGTCTAAAGTTGGCCAGATGCAGCCACTTGCTGAGATGTTCAGAACATACAGGCTCTTAGATTCTAGACCTCTGCACCCAGGAATCATCATTTTGCTTCCGGCCATAGTTTCAAGGTCATTCTTCTCAGAAAACGTTTGGATTGTGCAAAGTTCTTCTGGCATGTCTGATTATCTTCCACACTCTAGTCTGATCAGCAAGTATGTGCTTTGGAGGTGCCGAACTTCTTTCTAGTGCGTTCGACTGGCACACTGCTTTTTTAGTCCTCTACCCTACTAAATTTAGATTTAGTATACTTTAGATTTGGCTGCTTCTCTCCACTGATAGTTTATCTCATTTTTAATTGGTTTTAAACTTAGTTGCAAATAATTTACGTTTATAGAATGGGAGGGTAAAGATACTATTAATACTGACGCTAACGTTTAATCCAGCACTGAGGAAGGTGGTGGTGGACCAAATGACCTCTTAGGAACCCTCAATTCTTATATTTTTTATACTAATAAATGAAAAAGAACAGGTTGGTTTTTAAACCCTGGCCTAATTACCAAGTTCTGCCAGGAACGGATTTTCTCATCTTCCCTCAGCCTCCCGACTGCATTTCATTTTTATTAATTTGACCCAGAACAAAGGCTGACCCAAATACTTAATTTCCATCCAAGTGCAATTTCAAGAATACAGCCTATCTGTTTGCCCACTCCTCACTGCGGAACAAAGGGCCATATCTATCCAGAGGTATTACTCACCATGTTTGAAGACCCCAAGAAGCAAAGACTTGTCGGCTTCTGTGTCCCACCAGGCCGTGGGGACTTCTGCCTGATCCACTAGCGGAAACCAGATGTCAATTTCGCTGCAGAAATTAAAGTGGGAAATGGAAACAGGGAAGGCAAAACAAGGCAGACAAAGCGTGAGATATCAAACAGGAACCAATACAATGTATTGTCGAAGGCTTTCACGGCCGGCATACGATGGCTGGTGTGGGTCTTCCGGGCTGTGTGGCCGTGGTCTTGAAGTTTTGTTTCCTAACGTTTCGCCAGCACCTGTGACCGGCATCTTCAGAGAGCAGGAGCACAGGCAGGAGCAGTTCTCTCTGTGCCCCGCGAAACGTTAGGAAACAAAACTTCAAGACCACGGCCACACAGCCCGGAAGACCCACACCAGCCATCGTATGCCGGCCGTGTAAGCCTTCGACAATACTGCCGGTCACAGGTGCTGGCGAAACGTTAGGAAACAAAACTTCAAGACCACGGCCACACAGCCCGGAAGACCCACACCAGCCAGGAACCAATACAACTTTCCAAAATTCTGGCTCTGCAGCAGAAGTTTCATTCATAGGCCTCGGAGTGGATTGCACCGATATGCAGCACAGCAATTCATTTAAAACAGAGAAAGAATAAGATTTGCTCTTTCGCTAGGGCAAAATCTGTCTAACAGAATAACTGACTTTGAGAAGTAAATATATTTCGTAAGGAAACAAATAATCCCAGAACTTGCTAAGGTCTCTCATCTAAGAAGAGTCACCTGGTGGGTGGGCACCCTTAAAAATCGAAGAAACAAATAACAAACAGATAAAATAAAAGGTTTCTACCATGAAATCCATTAGGTCAATCACTGCTTCCCATCCCAACCCAACTTGTAGGTTTGTTACAACTGCGAGGTCATCATAAAAAAAAAAAAAAAGGCATATCAGTAGGTAGGAAAAAACACACAGAACGCCCTGGGCAACCTTTGTAAAGGTGAAATTTTACCTGGAAACAGCACCTGCCAACACTTTCTCAGCCTGGTCCCCAATCACCTCCTGACGTAAGTAATAAAGCATGCGGACTCTGAGCAGCACCCTAGGAGGAAAATAATGCCTTTCTGTTGGAAGACCTGAGCATCTTCTGTAGAACTGCACCCACTGGTGTTCCAAATATGTGACAAGGGCAACAAGAACTGTTTTCTTTTTTTTCACAGATGGGGCACATCCATGCCAAAGCAGCATGGAGGAATCAATTGCCATAGCCTGCCTTTCCCCTTTAGTAGACAGAAAGGCATGAATAACAAACCAGGTAATAAGGACAACACTACATCCATGCAATTATTTTTCAGCCCCTCCAGCAAGAAACTGAGATAATGACAAAGCTAGAATTTTGGAGAATGAGGTTGGGATCTGGCACTACTTGTCTACCATAATGGAGCTCCCATCATCTTTTCTGCATGGAAGAAGATTGGGATCTAATGGTTGGCTGTGCTGGCTATACAGAAGCCCTGAGCTGGACCTCCCTGCACCTCCCCATCTTACTTGTTACACTGGTGCTTGAGATGTTTCTTGTAGCCCTCGTCTTGGAAGAGAGTGTCCGGGTTGTACTTGTGGATCCATTCTGCTTTCTGGAGATCAAATGTGGTCTGGGACTTGACTTTCTTCCCCTTGCGGCCCCGTGGAACCGGGATGGACAGGCCTACCCGAGGAACAGGAAGGGAGCTCAGAGCAGGGGCTAGGTACAACATGGAACCAGTGCAATAGGGATTAGGTCACCCCAGCTTTTCCAGAGTAGCTCATGCTCATACAGACAGACACAACACAGAGGGAGCCACTTAGGGACAATGTAAGGGCCCACCAACAGCAAAGGGACACTAGTGGAATCAGTATTGTCCCATTTCCCAAGTGTCCGCCACTGTACATTCTCTCCACCCCTGCAAAGGGCTAGGTGGCCAAAATCTAAAGAGCTCACTGACCAATAGCAGCTCCAGTTGGATCAAAGTCTTCTGATCACAACAGTATGGACACGAGGGTGTGGGCATCATTCCTAATAGACAGCAATAGGGGGGATATAAAAGGAGCCCCTCCCCTCCACTTACCCGAGTGGTTCTGAAGCTCCTTGGCTTTGCCATTCTCAACTGGGCTGATGAGATCCCAGATGAATCCTTTGATGTTCTCATCGCCCCGATAATGCATCAAGCAATAGACCAGGATGGCACGGCAGATGGTCTCCACATCCCGCTCGGACATGCGCCGCTTGAAACGTCCATGCGAGAGGATCTCCCTCCAGCGGCCCCAGCTGCCAGGCAAACCAGCAGAGACAGAGTTGAGAAGGCAGGTAAGGGAAGGGCCCTATCTCAGAAATCAAGGTGTTCTTTTTCAGCAACCATGGCTACAAACCCTATGCCTGCTTCTCTGGGGAGCAAGAAGATGCTACCTTCACGGGGATTTATGTCCAGTTAAACATAGAGAGAAACCCTTTGAGCCATTAAAGGAGTGCTCTTCCCCATTCACATATGCCCTGGCTGGAACATCTCAAGTGGCACCAACATTTTAAAAAGACCCCTTTCAATAAGCATTTTGCCTCCCAGCATTTGTGCAGATTAAATTACAAGGTCTCCACATCAGAGAACCAGTCATTTCTCCTTCAGGGCAGTTCTGGATGCTTTGCCACGTTCAAACATTTTAAACTGACTGATTAAACCCTGACTTTTGAAGAAACTTCCTCCCCTTGACTGATCTGACCATAGACTTTGTGTGTGTCTCCTGATTCCAGAAACCAATTACACCAAGTTAACCCATTGGTCCATACAGCTCAACACTTCCTATTCTCATCCCCCAAGAACTCCAGGTTGGAGTCTTTTCAAAACCTACCTACAAAATCTATTATTCATCTTGAGGTCTCCTGCACACAAAAGCTTTTAGGGTGGTGAAGAGAAGTTCACAAGTCCACCATCCAAAGCCAAATGCAAATTAGTATGGAGGTGGGCACAGAAATATTCTGTGTTAACTATGAAACACACACATGATCCAGGGATTAGTTTCTGAATCAAAACTACATTTACCCTCCCCCACCTCTTTTTGGCAAATAAGAAAAAGCTACTGTTTCTTGCCTCAATCAAACTAATTGCCAGTTTAATTTTGGAATGTTTCTAGAGTTAAAACAATTAGGAGTCAAGCTAATTGCCAACCTGTATTTTGAGAAAAACGGCCCACCGTGATTTTATCTCCTTGAGGAACTCTCAATAAGCTTCCAAGGTACCTCACTCCCCTCTCCCCACAAGGAATTGGATTAATGCACCCATGTACCCCCCCTCCCCTACAGCTCCAATAACTCTTCTTTCCACACACCCCATTGCTCTTCATGAGGCCTCCCTCCATGCCACATACCCATAGACCAGCAGTTGTTTCTCCACCTGGAAGCAGTCGGTGCGCCCGTACGAGTGGTGGAGTGGATGGTGGTGCCGGTCATGGCGCCGGGAGCGTGGCCGGTCATCATCATCACTCTCCAAGTCAGAGAACTCAACCAGGTCGTCATCCTTCAGGGTACTGAAGTGGCGAGTTTGCTTGCGCACCCGGGGTGTGTCGATCACCAGGTTGTTCTGTAGGAGTTGGAGAGGAAAGCCCTCT